TGTATCCGAGTGTAATAATGTATCACTAATTTTGGTTTTTGGGTGGTTTTTTTTTTGGAGACTGATATATAACTTTATCTTTTGATAAACTAAGACGTAGTAGAAACTTGGTACCGATCGGTTCTAATTTTCCATAAACGATTGCGAATTTTCATCAAAGTCAAAAGTGTATTCAAACAGAATTTGAACATAGGTTCACGCATCACATATTTATATCGAAAACACTCTCTATACAAGTTTCAATTAAAAGATAGACACGAGAGAGAAAAGGATTGAATGAACGTTAATCTTTCCATGCGATCATTCGGGAAAAGTGTCACAAATATCTTATCTCATAAAACTAACGACAAAGAAAGTCATTGAATTATATATGATTTTATTTCTACTTTTAAAGTCGAAAAAACATTAATGAAACCTCGAATAACAAAGAAAAAAGTTCGAAGAAACACACTCGTCCACAAACGTATACAACTACTACACTATTGAATTTTCGCATCATTAAGCCACCCATTCTACAAAACAGTTATGTTTGAATCTGTGGCTAATCCTACAGACTCACATTTTAACAAACACAAGTATTAGAAACTTTAAAAAAGTTCGAAGAAACACACTCGTCCACAAACGTATCCAACTACTACACTATTGAATTTTCGAAGAAACACACTCGTCCACAAACGTATCCAACTACTACACTATTGAATTTTCGCATCATTAAGCCACCCATTCTACAAAACAGTTATGTTTGAATCTGTGGCTAATCCTACAGACTCACATTTTAACAAACACAAGTATTAGAAACTTTAACCCATTCTACAAAACAGTTATGTTTGAATCTGCGGCTAATCCTACAGACTCACATTTTAACAAACACAAGTATTAGAAACTTTATTTCATCGAAACTAAAAAAAAAATACTCGCTGCTAGATTAAAGAAGATACAATAAAACTAACACATAGACGTAAATATGGCAAAAAAAAACTTTGGTCCAAGATTTGAACATAACACATTGAAGCAACTACAGCTCTAAACAATTTGTTTGTTCCAGAATATGTTTTTGTAAAACAAAGTCTTGTTTTGTGTTATTATTGTTTTTTTAAATTTAATCTTTTAGTGCTAAATATTTTTTTTTTAGTTTTAAAATTATCATGCATTGTAAGTTGCGCCATCTGCAAGCTAATAAAAAAAAAACATTTTGCTGCTTTCCCAGAAAGGTGAACAGTCGTTACAACAAATCAGCCAGTAACTATAGCACAGGTTAGTTGTTTCGATTGAATTTATTTTGGTTCGATTTGAAAAACACAATTTTAGGTTTTGTTTTCAAAAACAATAAAAGTAGTACAAAATCATGAGCCTGAAACAAATAATTAAAATAGTTAAAAAGTTAAGAGAATTTAACTTCTTTTTCTTCGTCAACATTCACTGCTTGAAGATATAGTATTATTGGTAAGTTAACGTTGTACATGTCCTTCAGCTCTGAAAAATATATAAGCACCGACAAATAATACAAAGATACAAGCATTTTGCACCTGAAAAATTACCTTTTCAAATGAATTTTTAAGCCGTAAAAATATTCAGGTTCTCCAAGACGTGACGATTGTGCAACATTGCCATTTCATTAAGCAGAATCGTTTGAACGTGTAGAATAATAGAACTATTTGATGTGTCTTTAACCTTCTATTACACATTGTAACGTACAGGTAACAAATCTGTCTTTTGGTCTTAATACACATGATTCGGTTCTGTAGTTGAATGCTCTTACTTCCAAGTAAGAGTTTAAATAAAGCACCGAATTATATTTTTGGTTCCTCAATAGAACATTGTTACTTGTCGCTAACGTACCCATTTATAACTTAACAAAATTTACATCAAATTTTGTTTCTGCCACATAGAGCTATTAAAGTAAGAATTTCAAAGAAAACATCTTTCCACCGCATTTTCATGATGTGTACAATAGAGAGGTAAACAAACAAAATGTTAAGATGTATATTAAAACAACGGAATAATCTGAATGCGTCTTAAAATTAAATAGAAACGATGGATGTGGATTAAGAGTATTAGAATGATCTTAAAATAGTCATTCGGATGCACATTAAAAATAATAGAACAGCTTGAATGTTCGTTAAGAATAATTTAACGATCTGGTGGTGTCTTATAATAATTAGAATAATTTGGATATGGTAAAAAAGTGGACGTGTTTCAAAGTAAATGGAACCATTTGGAGGTGAGCTAAGAGCAAAAATTTCTAGTTTTGTTGTAAAATTTTGAAAAAAAAACAGCAACAACTTTATGGAGATCTTTGTCAGCAAAGAGTTTCCTTAAATAAAGGAACAATATAAAAATATTCAAGCTGAAACAGTTAATTTAATTCAAGGCAAATAAAGTACGTTTATGAAGATATTGTTCATCGCGAAAAGGGAGATAAAAAAGGATATAAATGGAAGGACCATTATTTAAATGTGGCGAGAAATAAACCGCAATAAAACTTTTGAAAACTTTGTTATTCGGATTCAGTGAAAAACGTTTAAAACACTTAGCATCAACTAGAAAACAAAAAGTCGTAAAACCAGTTATAGACTATTACAAAGTCAAAATATTTTAAGTTGCGAAAACAAGTTTTACCTTTGCAGCTTCAGCAATATTACACATCGAACTACGAAATATGTGAAACGCAGCTGTACCTTTGGGAACCAATATTTACTGGGAACTCGATGAATAGCAAATAAAACAGGACAGGGCGAGAGAAATTGTATATTCAGCATGTAAGACTTAAACTGTTTTACCTACCTACGTTCATATTAGCCACAGGAAACGGAATCATTCTATTAAGCTAAATGCCAATCTTCACAAAAGTGTAATTTTTTATTCGCACGTTTCAAGTATTTTACAATATAAGATGTGTAATCCAATACTCGTATTCCTACATTTGAGTTCAAATACCTAAAGTATTATAACTAGCCATCAGAATTTGCATTCATGTGCAGTAGAGTCATGAAACTATTATCAAAATTGAGAAATTGAAAACTTAGAAATCTCAAAAACTAGTAAATATTAATTTTTATTATCTTTATGGTAGTGATCCTTAATTAAGGTTTTGCCCGTGCTTCCATCTAGTGGTTAAAGAAGAAACCTCATCAATCACAGCGTTGAAAACGTTTCTTAGTGTTGAAAGACAAAACTACAACTACAACACTGCTTAGAAATCAACTTAACGGTGTTTCTCTAAAGTCAGATTGTGCTTTATGGAAAAATTTACAAAGTTGTACTTTCTGCAGGTGGCGCTGAGTATTATTAAATTTCAACTTTATATATTTATCAAGACGTACCGTAAAGGTAACAAGGATATTGGTTATTGCCTCCTAGCGTACAAATACGAATGTTCTTTCTCAAACGTCAGCATCCTAAACACCTCAATAGGAAAACTAGGTTTTATAAAATTGTAACAAAGAGTTAAATACTATGGTAATATTCGACTTGTGCAATAAATTTTAAATCATGTATGCTTATTCTTACCAGAATTTCATGACTATTTAACTTATGTATCCATAAACAGAGAATTATTTCGATAAGAGACTTACAGTTCAAATGTTCTATACAAGTTTAAATTAACCTATATGTCAGTCTCATACGAACTAAGCAGAATTACACTTTTGTTCATGTACGTGAACAAGTGGCAAGTAAAATTGCATAGGAAATACGTATCAGCATGTTGAAGTAAGCGAGGGTAATGTTTCCATCCCGTACCGACATATGACAGGAATAAAGAACAGTGTTCATCCCGTACCGACATATGTCAGGAATAAAGAACAGTGTCCATCTCGTACAAACATATGTCAGGAATAAAGAACAGTGTCCATCTCGTACAAACATATGTCAGGAATAAAGAACAGTGTCCATCCCGTACCGACATATGACAGGAATAAAGAACAGTGTCCATCTCGTACCGACATATGACAGGA